GCCCATGGTGGATGGCCCCACACCTATGTGCACATAGGTAGCACTTACTGGATTCAGTAGGTTATAGAAAGACAACATGGGAGTAGGAAAGAGATGTCAGAAGGCTTTCTGGGTATAAGAGATGAAAGGCAGGAGGGTAGATATGATCAAGATACATCGTATCCATATGTGACCTACATCAAATTTTTAAAGAATTAAAAACATTACCCAAGACAGACATAACATTGTAAGTACTGAGGTCTAAGTTTAAAGAGCTTACTTTCAGAAGGGCGGCCTGCTGGAATGGACAGCCATTGTTAGCTCTTACATCTCCCCAAGTCTGAGACACATGCTGTGTGACATCAACTCTCTGGATACCAGCTTTCTTTCACAGAGTTCTGAATTCCATTCCATGCTCAAATAAACCTCATCACAACTTGCCCAAACCCATCTGAGCATGTGTAGCTCCTAATTTTCCTTTTCAGACTCCGTTTCTCCCAGAGAAACTTAGAATTTGACTGTCAATCGAAAGTAAAATTAGAGTTTAAAAAAAAGAGAGAGACGTAAGGTGAGGAAGCCAATGTCTTAGAATGTTCATTTCTCTAAAAAGCCAGTAATAGAAGACTGGACTTTGTATTTTAGCCACACAAATATGGGGTCATGTAAGAGAACTCAATCATAAACCCACTGGTGTCACATCATACTTTATGGTTAAGATGAAAAGATCCCAAAAGGCTGATACATGTAAGACACTTGCTTTAATCATATTTCTCTGTCCTCAAGGTATTCCAACCCAGAAAGGCCAATGCAAGTTATTCCTTGCTGCTCTGGAAAAAAAAACCTAAGGGAAGCCAAGAATAGCAGTAACTATGTCAACTTATTCAGGCATAAGAAATTCCAAATTCACAAGCGCTAGTGAACAGGATCGGCTTAGATGGTCATCTGCTGACAACGGAAGAATGAAAATGCAGCACACACGCAATAGTACTCAGCCGCCAAGAAAAATGAAATAACAGAATGTGCAAGAATATAGGTGGAACTAGAAAACATTATACTGGTGATATAACCTAGGCCCAGAAAGATAAACTGCATTTCTCTCTCATATCTGGATCCCAGCTTCAAATATTTAGATCTGTGTGTTTAATTTCAAGTATGTATGTTCAGGTAGCCAGAAAGGGCCCAGGAGAGAGGAGAGACGCAGCTTAATGGACGGGGGGGGGGGGGGCAATGGTAGAACATGTGATAATAAAACGGGGAAGGATACTGAGGGTTAAAGGCAGGGATGGGGGCAGGTGAATGAGGGAGAGGAGAGGATGGGGGGGAGTTAGTGAAAACTCAAGCTGCATCAAAGTTGTCATGGAGACCCACTATGTAGGTAATTTTTAAAGTATAATTTTAGAGGGGCTAGAGAGTTAAGAGCACTTGTTGCTTTTGCAGAGGACCCAGGTTCTACCCTCAGTACCCACTTGGCAGCACAGAACCATCTGTAACTCCAGTCCCAGGGGAACCTATGCCCTCTTCTAACCTCCCTGGGCATCAGGAATACATACATGTATGCAGGCAAAACACTAGCACATGATAAAATAAATACATCTAAAATATTAAATATGTAAGACTTTAAAGAAATAAAAAGTTGAAACAGATATGCAGCATGGGTAGATAATGCTACTTCCAGAAAACATAGCTTATTAAATGAAAAATCTCGATGCCATGCATGGACTATTCCGTCAAAGATGTACACTGTTGGTTAGGAACCATAACTGGATGGTAACACTCTACAGCCAAAGATTCCACAGGTTTTGTTTTCAGAACGAAGAGAAACCAAGTTGGAACTGACAGGAAAACATTTTCCTTTTCATACTGGCTGACTTGCAAGTGCCTGAAGGTGCTTTGTAGGCCTCTGGAGTAGAAAAGAGATCAATGAACCCTGAACACTACAATACTAACCTGCCAGGCACCATGGGTCCACTGAAGCAATGGTGGCATGACCATTATGGGGAGGGAGGAGTAACCAACTGCTTTCTGATTGGAGCTGAGGTCCACTCCACAAGAGAAAATCCATGCCTGGTACTGTAAGCCTGGGAAAAACAAAAACCTTGGCTACTGTCCTAGTTTTCTTCTTTTCTTTTTTTCTTTTCTTTTCCTCTTTTCTTTTGCTGTGACAAAACACTGACCAAAAGAAACTTAAGAGAGAAAAGTATTTACTTAGTTTACAGGTTATAACCCATCCTCAAGGGATACTGAGGAAAGAACTCAAGGCAGAAACATGGTGGCAGGAACCAAAGCAGAGACCATGGAAGAACACTGCTTACTGGCTTGCTCTCCATGGCTCACTCAGCTTGTTTTATATAAAACTGGAGATGACCTGCCCAGAGGTGGTACCATCCACAGTGGGATGGGACCTCCCATATCAATCATCAATCAAGAATATGTCCTCCACAAACTTGCCTATAGGCCAATTTGATGGAGGCATTTCCTCAACTGGATGTTCCCTCTTCTCAGATGACTCTGGCTTTTGACAAAACTAAGCCTGAAGGGAAAGCTGAGCAACAATTATCCACAGTGTGTAAACTGATGCCATGAAGACCCCATAGTACGATAAGGGGACCCCATGAGCAGGGGGAGTTGAGGGTAGGGGAGGAAGGGAGAAGAGCTAGGATGCTAGCAAGAACTTTGAAATGTGTAACAGGTACTTGTGACAATGAGGGATCCCTGAGGCCAGCATGTGGTGTGGTATGCTAATAGGCAGCACAGATAGTCATTTGTCCCTTCTACCTTTTGAAATTTGGGGAAAAGGAGTTCCCTTTGAACCTGACACCTTGATTCCCAAATGATATGGGTTTTGGATAGCTCTGACATATTCCTGGGAATCTAAAGACCATGCACATGTATAAAGTCGTTTGCCTAGGAAGGATTATAAACATGCCTAGAAAAGTCTGAGCTAGCCCTAAGCTACTCCATCTGGAGGATGTTGGAGGCTCTTCCCAAGGAAGAGGGGGCTGAGGCGTGGTTCTCAGCTGCCTGGCTCATTTGCTGCACTCATGGCCCAGGGGTACACTGAGCCCCTCAGCAATGACTGGGAGATTTTGTTATGGTTCTTGTTCCAGGAATTTAAAGAAATCTTTGCCTAACTATTAACCACCTCTGAACAAATCAGTGTCCACATACAACAAAGGACACAGATGTTAGAGAATCAGCTGGGGAAAGTCACTAAAGACACTACATAACTACAACAGGCACAACAGCAGTCCTGGGAGACAGAAGACTCTGATTTTCAAAGACGCCATGTTGTGCTGTTGTGGGAGATATTTAAATCTCCAACCCAAATAGGACCAGTCAATGAAAACACAATTCAGTAATTATGAATATATTCTGTAAGCCTAGATTGGGCAGATATCCCTACACTACTCTGTTCCCCAGCTATGAGACCCTTATAACTTGAGGGTTTTCCAGTCCCTGCGTTTGTCCTTCTACCTCCTGCTTCCCAGTTGTCCTCCTCCGTCATCCTCCATCATCTTCTCTCTCCTCTCTTCTCCTCAGTCGTCCTCATCTCTGTCGTCTCTGTCATCTTCCTCCTCCATTGTCTTCCTCCAGTCTTCTTCCAGTCATCCTCCAGTCTTCTTCCAGTCATCCTCCAGTCGTAGTTCTCCCTGCTCTCTTCCCACCAACCTTTATATCTCCACCTCCCCTTCCTCTGCCAATCACTGGCTCCAGCCTTTATTTTACAAATTAAGATGGGCAGAAGGTTCACTAGAATTCACCTGTGTAATGACTAACACCTCCTCTGCAGCCCTTCACAGCAAAGGGGAATTAGTATCAAAATACAAGGCCGGGGCTATCTACAACATTGTGCCATTTGAAATATCTGGTTTTCAGGATGGGAGGTGCTTTTAATACTAGTACTCGGGAGGCAGTGGCAGTTTGAGGCCAGCCTCAATCTGGTCTACAGAGTAAGTTTCAGAATGCATTCCAGGATAGCCAGGGCTACACAGAGAAATCTTGTCTTAAAAAACTGAGGAAAAAAAGTAAACAAACAAACAAATAATCTAGTTTTCAAAAATGACTATAAATCATTGAGAAGCAGAGTCCACACACACAAAAAAAGAATAATCAATCAAAATGCTATTTCAAAAGGCCAAATAAGAAAGACTTTGGCCCTACTTTGACAAAGATTTAATTTGGTCATTTTAAAATTATGTTCAAAGCCACATCTAAAGAACTAAGAGAAAATATGTTATCATAAAGAATATTTGTTAAAAAAAGAAAACTATAACAAAGAGTTTAGTAGAAATTATGGAGTTGAAAACTATAGTAAATAACAATAATAAATAACATTAAGCCAAACTTAATAGTGAATGTGAGCAAGCAGAAGACAGAATCCATGAACAGGAAGATGGGGCACTGCAGGTAGCCAGAGGAAGGGTAGAAATGAATCCAGGCTTTCCATTTGTTCCAATTGTGTGACGAGCTTGGGGCATTCCCATGCTCACAACAAGAAGCTGAATGAACTGAAAATCAGCAACTCTACAGAAGACAGCCATAGAACTAAAGTCAGGACAGACAGCCACTCCCTAATACACACAGACAGGTGAACAGGTGAGCCATAGCTTACCAGCAGCAGAAACCCTCTAGGAGCCAGCAACATGTTAAAAGTCCCAGATAGTCATTATCATATTCCCTGGGGTAGGGGAGGAACAGCTGAAGAGTTTTAAACTCTTGGATGTCCAGTCTGAAAGTGGGAAAGATGTATACTCTTTTATACTCTTTGCTATTGTATGTCAGAGGTTTATATTTTCTTTTTTAACTTTACAGGGTTGACAGAAGATTGCCTTGAGTCTCAGATACGGTTTTAGATTTTTTATGTTATATGCATAAATTTTTAAATGATACACACACACACAGAGAGAGAGAGAGAGAGAGAGAGGGAGAGAGAGAGAGAGATTTTTCTTAAATTGCATATATCTTTTCCTTTCAGCTGAGATGTGTAATTGGGTGTCTATATCTAGGTGACAATTGTAACATCAGATTCAAAACTTGGCTCAGGTAACTTGATCCCTCTGGAAACTGAACTTTCTCATCAGAGAAATAACTTCTGTTCCTGGGAAGAAATCTGTATCTGAACAAAGCTTCAGAAGTAAGTATTCCAGTAGGGGGTGTGGGACTTTCTCTCAGGTCACCTTAGATTAAAATTAGTAAGTAAATAAATAATTAACTGGAGCCTGAAAAAAATAAGTCAAGAAAAAAATCATATAATACAAATTTGCCTAAAATAGGTTTCCTCTTAAACTTTGTAGCTATTCAACTATGAAGTGTGAGAGTCTACCAGTGTCACTGAACGTGTGCTTGAATCTTAGTAGTGAACAACATCACATTGTTTCACTGTTCAGCTGAAACACTGCCAATCACGAATGGCTTTAAATGTAAGGATGTTAAAAAACCTTGATCCGCCATTGCCTTTTTAAATAATTGAAAGTTAACCAGTTTTTGATTAGCAGGCTCTCAAATGGTAGACTTTTAAGTGATCCCAAATAGTATTTATATTTCTTGGAACAAAAAAAAATGTGCTTGGACATGGAATTTGGAATTCTGAGGAGGCAGGGCTGTGAGTTGATGTCACACAGGCTGGTTTGGTGCTGCTACATTCTAGCAGTCCTGGCAGACCTCAGACCTCCAACAGTGAGGCACATCAGCCTGTATCTTAATTGACCTAACAGGTATGTTTACTTAGATCCTTCTTTCTCAAATCACAAATCTGAGAAACTGAAGGTTTCTGAAACATCCTATTCCCAAAACTAGTTTTTTTGTTGTTTTGAGATGGTGTGTGTGTGTGTGTGTGTGTGTGTGTGTGTGTGTGTGTGTGTTTAAATAAGTATTCTTAATTTAATGCTGGACAGATGACTTTGGTAAGTATGTTTTGTAGTCAGATTGTTTTCTGTCTTTTCTGGGTTTGCTTCAGACGTTAGACTAAGCATATTGCTTATTCCAGAAAAAGAGGATTAAGGTTCAGCAGAGAGACACATAGCCCACTACAAGACAGCCTGAGCCGTAAGAGACTCCTGAGAAGCTGGATCATGGTCTGTGCAAGCCTCTGTCACAGTGTCAGGAAGGGGTTGGCTAGAAGCATTCAGAATACTGATAGCACAACCTAGTTTGTCTGTTTTCAGGGTTTCCCCCATCCCTCACTAAAAGCACCACTTTCAAAATAGATTTGTACATTCTAAGCAGGTTTGGGTAATAACATTTTGAAGAGCCATTCCCTGAATCCATAATGGTCTAACCCAATGTGCTTGATTCACTGTGATTCAATGTGCTTGATTCACACTTCAGAAGGCTTGTGGGGAGGCCCCAGAGCAGGCTTGTTTGTTCAAGGGCCTTTCACTGCCTGATAAATAGGTTTTACATCCAACCCTTTTCAACTACACAAATCAACCCTCTTACTCACCTGAGGTCAGCTTGGGCCACCCTGCAGAGTTCCATAAGTCTATATGTTGGATCCTTTCTTTTTCCCTGAAGAAAGCTGGGGGAGGGGAATGGCCAAGCGGCTCTTTGGGAGTGAAGCCACTTGTGCCATCTGAACTTCTTTGCCAGGTGTGAAAGATGTTCGACTTGAGGACGAAGGTTATGATCGGCATCGCTAGCACTTTGCTGATTGCTGCAATTGTGCTGATAACTGTTGTCCTCTGTCTTTACCTGAAAATATCCAAGGCCCTCAGGTGAGTCATGGAGTCAGAGGGGACAACATTGGGGCCCTCTGCTAGAACAGGGTCACTTCTTCCCACATTGGCCACTTGTAGAGCAAAGTCCACTGTCAGGCTTGAGAGTGAGGGCAGGTGGGCACAGAAGTTTGAGGGATCTCCTTCTGGCTTGGGACTGTGAACCAGTATGTCGACTGCTCTCAGCCTGGACACCATGGGTACCAGCATCACTCTTCTGTCACTTAGACACAGGGAGTGAACCTTCAGCTACTTATCAGGGCCCTGGCTGAGCATCCTTTCCATCCTCAACACTGTAGACTGGAGAAGCCAGAGGATGCCTTGGCAATGAGCTGCCTCCTACTCACACAGAACTTGGCCATAGTGAGCTCCTCTCCTCTTCTAGGGAAGCTCAGATGTTTCTATATTCATTGCCAATGACTTTGGGAAAAGTGAAGTGAGCCAAGAGAAGAGAGTCCGTGAAGGACAGCTGACAGGGATGCAAGTCAGACAGGAGCTGGTTGAAGTTTGGGAGAGAAGCTTTTAAGTATGGGAGAAACTGGCTGTCAGCAGTGAGAGTGTCCCTTACTAGGGACTGAGATTGTAGGGTCAGAGCTGAGTCTAGCCAACTGCTGTGCCTTCTCCATCATCCCCACA